TAACAGCAGACAAGGGAGGTATCTGTTTAGCTTTACAGGAAAAATGCTGTTTTTATACCAACAAGTCCGGGATCGTCAGAGATCGGATTAAAAAGCACCAAGAAGAGCTAGAAAAAAGGTGACAGGAGCTTTTTGCTAACCCCATGTGGGGCATGTGGAATGGAATTCTGCCTTATCTTCTACCTCTTATTGGGCCCCTGGTTTCCCTACTCTTAATCTTGACAATAGGCCCCTGCATTTTCAACCGGTTGACTCAATTCATACGAGAAAGGCTATCAGTGGTCCAGACCTTAGTGCTGACCAGCCAATACCAAGCCCTAGAAACCAGTGACCCTGATAATCTATAAAGGAGGGAAAGGTTCCCCTCCATAGTTACAAAGAAAAAGGGAGGAATGAAAAATAAAAGTCAGGCGCCATGAAGTCTCTCAGGCAGGTCGCGTACCGGTCAAGAATTCCAACTTGCCGATAAGTAAGTTTTATGGCCGAGACATCTGGCTTACTGATAAGTAAGTTTTATGGTTGAGACATCTGGCTTACTGATAAGTAAGTTTCCCGCTTTCCCCGTAGCATTTTGTAATAGTTTAAATTAACCAATAACCGCGTTTCTGCTTCTGTATCCCGCTTCTGCTCTATAAAAGTGCCAAACCCCAGCCTGTAGGTGCGCAAGTCCTCCGAGGAGACTTTGTGCCCACAGGTACCTGTGTACTAAATAAACCTCTTGCTGTTGCAACCCGAAGGCTGACTTGTCCTCTGTGGTTTCACTCTTACATGACAATCCTGGAATAGTGGTTGTATTGGTTACTTTTTTGTTGCTGTGAAAAAATACCATGAATGAGTTTCACAGTAGGTGAACAGGCCCCACGGGCCACTCTGCAGCAGCTGCACCCTCAGTGTGGACTGCTGTGGGCCTGACACGGAAGTCCTCGGGGGACCGGAAGCGGCGCCTCAGGGCGTGCAGGACGCGGCGACGGCTATGTTTCGCCCCGTTCTCCTCGGGGCGCTGTGGTCACCACCTGTCCCCTCATTCCCCTTGTGACCCCGCGGGAATGGCTGCCCCGTCCATGAAGGAGAGGCAGGTGTGCGGGGCGCCCGCGACCGGTACTGGCGGTGCCTCGCCGACAACGCGCCGACAACCCAGCCGGCTGCCAGCATCTGAGGAGCTCGTTCGAGGTGCACTGCCCCCAGCAGGTGGAGAAAATACTTTGACAAGAGACTATTTAAAATTCAAGGAAAAATTTGAAGCAGGACAGTTCCAGCCTTCACAGTCAACTGAGAATTCCTAGGCTTTGCCTAAGCTTTTTACAAAGACTGAAATTACTCTTCTGGACGTTTAAATATGCTTTGCTGATTCTGGGACGATGGCATTGTGGCACACACCAGTACTTGTTCTTTCTGCAGCACTTGATAAGTAAAATGGTCAAGTTAATAAGATTGCACCATGCAAACTAGGAAGAACTGAAGTGGTATTCAATTTGGTGCTTTAATTTAGTAACACGTCTATTTTAAGAAAAAAAAAATAAAGCCCATTATAAAAATACGTTATCTTCCTTTTTCTTTAGAATAAAAGCTGAGTAGTAGACAAATTTAATTTTCCACTAAAAATATCAATATGCAAATAAAAGATTTCTCTACCATGTGGTTCTGTTTCTACAGTTGTAGTGACATTCCTCAAAGGTCCAAACAGGAGTTCCCAGGCTCGCCTGGAGAAAGACTCCTCCCCGTGCCTGGATTGCTAACTAGTTCAGTAGGACAAAAAAGATACACACTTATAGATTGGCTTTATTCCAAGATAATTAAGACAATGCCAAAGGATGGACCTCCCCCACACCAAAAAAAAAATTACAAACCTAGAGACAATACTTGAAAATCATATTTTATGAAGAACTATTCAGTATAAAGAACTCATAATTCTTTTTTCAAAATTATGTGTACATGTGTCTGTGGGTATGTGAACATGACTGCAGATGCCCATGGAGGCCAGATGAAGGTGTTGGATCCCCTGAAGATGGATTACAGATGGTTGTGAGCTGCCCAACCTGGGTGCTGGGATCCACACTCTGATCGGCACAAATAGTACTCTTAACCCCTGCATCATCTCTCCAGCCCTGTCATGATTCTTAGTAAGAAAAATCCTGTTTGAGAAGTGCAAAAATGATGTGAATAGATACTTCTTGAAAGAAAATGCAATTGAAGACAAATATCTGAAAAAGGGTCCATATCAAGTGCTGACAAGCTTGTAGAACAAGTCCTGGCTCTTGAAATGCAAACCAGGAAAGCCCCTCTGGGGAGGTTTTGAGTAACATGTGCTGACCTTATGACCTTGCAGCCCCACTCCTAGGTATTTCATCAAAGGGACAGAAAGCAAAACCTGCAGCTTTAGTCACCAAAAAGCAGATGTCTGTGGTGGGATGAAGTGCTGTGCTTGCATCAGAACACCATCAGTATAAGCAAATAAACACAGATGGACCCTGAATGCATTTTGCAACCTGAAAGAAGTGAGATTGTGATAGTGTTGTGGGAGGCATCTAAATGAAGTAGGTATGGAAACTTCTACTTTTGCAGCCCTCTTGCAAGTCAATACTTCAAAATAAAACTTACAAGGAAAATGGAAAAAAAAAAAGAAAAAATACCATGACCAAAAGCAACTTACTTATAGAAGAGTTTATTATTGTTAGGGTTATAATTCCAGGAGGGGAGTCCATAATGGCAGGAGAGGCATGGCAGAGGGAGCCAGAGCAGGAAGCTGAGAGATCCCATCTCTACAGGACACAGGAAGCAGACTGATAAGCAGGAAGTGGGTTGAGGCTATAAATCCTCAAAGCCCACCCCCAGTGACATATTTCCTCCAGCAAGGCTGTACCTCCTACAGATTCCATGACCTCCCCAAAGAGTATCACCACTGGAGACACAGTGTTCCAAGTACGTGAGCCTATGGGGACATTATTCATTCAAATCACCACAGTGGTGTAGCAGATTTAAGAGAAATATAAGGTGATCTTAAGGAAGATACAGTCTAGCAGGGAAAGAGACAGTGCTACTTGTAACATGAAAGCACAGCCTTGTCAAGGCAACATAGGGCACAGTTACTTGTGGGGGTAAAATCACTGACAATTGGTACTGGGGAGCTGGGATGTTAGCAGCTGGAGTAGTAGAAGGCTTTGTGGAAAAGCAAGATTCGGGTTGGGCCTGGAAGGATGGTAGATTTACACAGGTGGAGGCAATAGAGGATACCGAAGAAGGCAGGAAGGTGACAGCTATAAGCAGCTAAGTAGAAGTGTGGGAACAGATGGGCATGCTGAGGAGCACTGATGAGTTGAGGCTGCCTCAGCACTGCTGCAGCACACAGCATAGAGTCACTGGGGTCTCCAGAGCAGGGGACATCGTGATGCAACTGGTATGTTACAATATTCTAGCCCATGCCAATCTATGTTGGAGCTTAAGGCAAAAGGAAAAGTCAGTAATACGGAGTTGTCTTTGTTTAAAATCTTTTGTTCAGCATGGATTGTGTATTAAAATATTCCTTATTTTGATGATTGACTGACTGTGCCTAAGGCAAGTACATCTCATTTGCACTATCCCAGTTCCAGTCCTGTGCTCTATTTTTGAAATTCACTGTGGGACATGGGTATTTACTAAATTATTATTAATGTACTAAAGCTTATTCATGTTGTAAATACTCTTTGGTTGGTAGATAGTATTTAATAAAATACAATTAAAATCTGGGCATGGTGGTGTACACCTTTAACCCAGCACTCAGAAGCCAGAGGCAGGAAGATGTCTGTGAGACAGGCCAGCCTAGTCTACATAGTGAGTTCCTGGCCATCTGGAGCTACAAGGAGACCCTGTCACAACTCTCCCCTTCTTCCAAAAAGGAAAATATCATTAAGAAAAGGAAAAGTGAATCTGAAGAGGAGTTTGGGACTTTTGAATCTGAGACATGTGAAAGGGAAAACAATCCTTTGTGTTCCTGAGTCAGTCTGTAGGGAGAACTTCCCATGGCCGCAGTCTACACAGTGTTTGCAGGAGAGAGCGCCTTGCTCATCCTGCTGTAAACAGAAGACAACTGTTGGTACCAGACACCACCATTTATTTGCAGGTTGGCTTGGACAAGTCAGCTGCTGTAGCAGCCAGCGACTGTGCTGCACGACCGGAGACAAGCTCCACAAATGGGCTTTTTGAGAAGCCCTGCTTCAGGGCAGGCCACTAACATGGCTTGTCACAGGGCCTTTGGTTCAGAGAGATGGAAAATTGAACTCAATGTTTCAGGTTTTCTGGGTCTACAGAAAAGACTGGTATTTGCACAGAGTATCAATAATACAGCTTTAAAAAAATTTTACTCTTGAGCCAGGCGTGGTGGTGCACGTCTTTAATCCCAGCACTTGGGAGGCAGAGGCAGGTGGATCTCTGTGAGTTCAAGGCCAGCCTGGTCTACATAGTGAGTTCCAGGACAGCTGGGGCTACAGGGAGACCCTGTCTCAAAAAGACCAAAAAATTTTTTTTACTCATGTATGTCTGTGTGTGTATGCCACATACTTGCAGGTGTCCATAGAGATCAGAAGAGAAGGTCAGATCCACCTGGAACTTGAGTTATAGGTCGTTGTGAGCCTCCTGGCATGGGTGCTAGGAACCAAACTTTGGTCCTTTGCAAGACCAGTATGTACTCTTAACTGCTGAGCCATCTCTTCAGCCCCTCCATAATATATCTTTAAATGTAAAATTTTGTCTTATTTAAAAAATTTTTTTGATACAGGGTCTTGCCATACAGCATAGGCTGGTCTTGAAATCACAATCCTTCTGCTCAGTTTCCAGAGTACTGGGATTATAGCTGTGGTCCACACTTGGCTGAAATCCACTGGTCATTAATGCACTAGAGATTAATGGAAGATTATTTTTACCAGGGAAGCAAATGAGACAGCAACACAAATGTCACCAAGACCAAGGGGAGTATGGAGAGGTGCAGGCGGCTCCTGTGCTCATCACCAGGGCACTTCTTTATCATGTGATGTGGACCTCCCAGTCATCACCAATGTTCAGAGAAAGCTTCTCCAGACTCAGGGTGGACGTTCTGGCAGAGTATGTAAAAGCTGCAGGCTGAACTTTACCATCTAAATAGCAAGATGATAAAAGAGGGAAAGTTTGAGAAATACCTAGGAGAGAAAATTATTTTTTTTTCCTGAAATCTGATATCTTATGCTATCACATACCCTTATACCTTATTTAGGAGATTCCATGAACTTCTATGAATGTTTTAAAACATGGGAAAAAAATCTTACATTTTGAGTACAATAGTGGGTAGAAAGAAACTATAAAGAGCAAGTGATTTGTCCAAGAAATTCAGTAGGTAAAGGATGGCATAATTCCATCCCATGCCCTTTCATCAACTCTACAACTATGGCAAGTATCTCCAGGGCTGTAGAGAGCCCCACCTTTTTCAAAAATTAAGAAGCATTTATATTATTACAAGTCTCCAATAATTTTTCTTAGGAAATATTAACTGTAAGTAGAAAGACCAGTTCATAAAGAACAGCAGACTATTCTTTACTCACTCTAGAGACTAGAAAATTGACCCTCCCAGAACAGGCAGAGTCTGCTTGAGCTCAGCATATTATCAGAGTTTGGAGACAAATCATTTGCTATAGATACTTCTGTGTTTACAAAAACAATGCTGAGATAAGAATGAACTGTCTGCTTACCAGATGGGTGGGTAGTCACCGAAGATGGTTTCTTTTGGAGGCCTAAGACCAAGATCTGCTCTACCTTACACTTGCTGGGATAATGGCCCCTCTCATCAGCACACCTGAGGTAGATACAATGGTATTAGGAGAAGCAGAGGGTGGAGATTTGAATTGGTTACCAGGTCAACATCTCCATCCTTGTGAGTTCTTCTTCCATCTGTCTCTATGAACTCATAGTCCATATGGGAGTCATTTAGTAAGACTAAGAAGTGACAAAAGATGATTTTGTGTGACAAGGAATAGGTAACTGGTGGCCACATCAATCCTCCTCAAGCCACATAAAGCCACTTAAGGACACAAAAGACACAAGTGTGGTTTGGATATTATAATCACTGTCAGAAATCAGACACTACACTTAATGAAACGGTATGTGGATGAATGAAAAGTATTAATAAATGCCTAACTTGAATACATTTTATTTGTTAGACAAATGGGAAAAAGATACAGACAAGAAAGAAGGAACATTCATGGTCAGTGATTGAAAAATACAAATGGCCATCACCATCATTTATTTAAATAGTAACAAAACACAGGCTATCATTTCCTTGAGAATGACAAAAGGGTAGCATAAATTAAGAAAACTCACAGTTTCTTTAGCAGCTATTTACTTATTTAATTTATTTATGTATTTATGTATTATTTATTTATTTATTTATTTATTTATTTATTTATTTATTTATTGTCTTTTTTTGAGACAGGGTCTCCCTATAGCCCCAGCTGTCCTGGAACTCACTATGTAGACCAGGCTGGCCTTGAACTCACAGAGATCCGCCTGCTTCTGCCTCCCAAGTGCTGGGACTACAGGCATGCACCACCACGCCTGGCTTTTATTTTATGTTTATTTTATTTTATGTCTTTTTGAAACAGGTCTCCCTATGGTCCCAGCTGATCCAGAACTCACTATGTAGACCAGGCTGGTCTTCAACTCACAGAGATCCGCCTGCCTCTGCCTCCCATGTGCTGGGACTAAAGGCATGATGCACCACTACACCCGGCTCCTTAGTGGCTCTTACCTGTTGATCAAAACACTGGAAGAGAATGACAACTTCCGGTGTAAGAACTGCTTCTGGTGGAGGTACTGGAATGAATGACCATCATCGAGGTACAGTTCTCCCACAGCAGAATCCTGGAAGGTGGACCACAGAGAATCTGTGTATGTAATAGTTTTACAGAGAAAAGTTCACTTCTAAAAGGAAAAATAATTTTAAATCTGTGAAATTTGTGAACTGAAGCTGAGAATTTAAGCTGCACAAGTACTCACAAATTTAGTAACAAAAATTCCTTACATACTCAATATTTGTTCACTCCTAAGTTGATGATGACATAGAATGAACAGGGAGGTTACATAGGAGGAACACAGAGTTAGACTGCTGTGAAGTAAATTTGAACTATGACATGTGAGAAGGGCAGAAATGGCTTCCTTGATACCATTCCAGAACGTGGCAAAGTTCACAGAACAAAATTGAAGTTGAAAAAAATCAATATAGAAAAGATGAAATCAACTTTCTTTCAAAGACCTTCCAACTTTTTAAAGTAGGAGGACCCCTTTTGCACGTCAGTGTAGCTTCCACATGGCAGGTAGGTTATTAACAACATCGCTGTAGGATTTCTAGTCTATTGCATTTATTCTGGGGCCTCACATGGATCCTAGACCACAGTTTGGTAGAAGAAGACATGCTTAAGTGAAATAGATGGAAAGCAAAGCTATAACTGACTTATTTTTATAATATTAGTAAGTATTACTATTAAGAATGTGTATTTTGTTTTGTATGGTGTTTGGGCAAATGGATAAGAGGCATTTATTTACTCCAGGCTTCACTTGGCTCAAAAGATCCTCTCTGTCTGGATCCTCCCAGGTTTTACTCAAGGAGATCTTAGTTATTTGAGTCATCTGGTGAGAACAGAAGCCACTGAATGAGGCTAGGGTCCCCCAAATGGTTAGAGATACATTTTAATACTCCCCTTTTGTAGGAGACTGAGTCAGGGCTAGTCTACAGGGGTTGTCTGTAGCCTAATGACCATTCCACCCAATAGCAGCAATCAGGTGCCCAAGAAACATATTCCCATTGTTCCTGGACCTCAGAGTTCCCTAAGAACAATGTCAGAAAGGGCAGACTGGCTGTGCAGTGAATCAAAAAAGATTCAGCCCTTGATAAACCTTGGGAGCACCATTTCAAATATGAGATTCACTACTTTTTCAAGGTGTTGTATCCTCAAAAGGCTATCACTGCAAAGAGATAGGACAGTAACAAAAAGGCTGTTTTCCAAATACCTTAGTGCTTAGAGCAATGTGGAGTCCATACGGGGAATCAGCCATCCAGCCTGTGGATTTCCCCACAGTTGTCTTTATTGGTACCACACTTCCACCTCGCTGAAACACTGGTATCTATAATAGAGCAGCACTCTCAAGGACGGTTACTCACACAAGGAAATTTCTAGGTAGAATTTTAAAATATTTTACTATGTGAGATCACACTCTTTACAGGTATAAAATCAAGGGGAAAATATTTGTGGGTACAGAAATGGCAAGCATGGGGACTGTGAAATTAAAAGGAAAATGGCTCAGGCAAAAAATGGTCCATTAAAAATTTTTTATTTACTCATTACATATTAATATTGTGTGTATATATATGTGCATGTTGTTGCATGCATGCTGCAGCACACATGTGGCAGTCAGAGGACAAGCTTATGGGGTTGGTTTTCTCCTTCAGCTTGTATGTGGGTTCTGGGGATCAAACTCAGGTTGTCCAGCACACATGGCAAGCTGCCTCCTGAGCTACTTACCATCCCCAAATTGTCCATATTTTAAATTATTAGGACAGCTGCCTACCCTTCACCAGTTTATTAGCTATACCTGCCTTTTCCATTTTTTTCATTTAAGTGATAAATTCTATTCTATGCCCAGAGTTAATCCCTGAAAACTCTTTTTTTTTTTCAATTTCTATTTTGGATCTTTAACATTCCTGTCATTATAGTAAGCATGTTATTCTAGAGACCTGATAAAGAGTAGTTTTCTGGCTATTTAAGTGGGTCCAGATATACATTGTACACATAAAGTGTTTCTTGGTCTGGGGGGATGACTTTTGTCCTTCCTCACAGCACCTGCTTCTCTGGGTCAGCAGGATGCCTGACTCAATTTTGAGGCTAACTCTGAGAAGATGTTTCTGTTATAGAAACCATCAAGGGTACTTTAAATGATGTTAACAATGTGGCTGTGGGCATGGTCCACACCTATTAGTCTTTTGGTTGGCACTTGGCAGAAGAGCCTGGAAGGTTTCTTGCCTCTGGCAAGGAGCTGCCTGGATCTTTGAGTGGGAATGAGGGTGGAGGAGTTAAGACACCATGCCCTCCTCTGCTTAATTCATAAGCTACAAGAACAAAAGCCAATCTCTCTTTTCTTCTGTTTTAAAAACAAGGTGGTAAATTAGAGGGGAATGAATTACAGACTAGGAGTCCAGGAAACTCGAGGGGCTTGTCTTAGTTCTGCCACAAACTGCTCTTAACTCAGTGTGTGAGGGACTAGAGTAAAAGATTACTAAGGTCTCTTCTGGATCTGAAGGTTGATGTCTGAAACTCGTTTCTTTATAATGAAATTGCTGATGACAATCTAGAAAATAACATTACCATCTCTATTAATCGCCATAGTGTGCAGGGCCTGTGGTTGTGGTTGTGATTCAGCCTGGATGGCTACTGTGATTCTCATTTTATATATCCTTTTGGCCCTGTTGCTTTTTGACTTGACTAAACAGACATCCTATATGGCATGTGCAGTGAATACCATGTTTCTGTTTTTAGTGTTACTGGCCTTCTTAGACATACAAATATAGATATACAGGGAAGAGTTGTGTTTATCCTCAATATTTCATACAATGAATCAGAGCATATGGATTTTTGAACTATCTTGACACATTTAACAGCTTTATTGAAGTAATACTGCTGCAAAATTCACATTTAAAGTATACAATCAAACCATTTCAGTGTATTCATTCATATGATCATCACCATAATCAATTTAAAAATACTTTCCAGACCTCTAAAAGAAACTTGTAACCTTTAACAGTCATTCACATTACTTCCCAAGCCCTCTCCCAAGCTCAGCCCCAGGCAAGTACTATGATAATCTATTTTCTATATCTATATGTAGGTGTTGTTATACAGAACTAACACCCTTAGTTCTCTATGTACAGAAATATACACACTGAATGCATGTGCCTCCCATTCATAAGTCAAAGCCCCAACCACTGAAGTGACTATATTTAGAGGTGGGGACTTTATAGAGGCAGTTGAAGATAAAATAATAAGGATAGGGTCCTGCAATGTTAGGAATTATCCAACTCAATCAGCTGGCACCTTGATGTAGGACTTCTACTTTCAGAGTTGTGGGAAGGTACATTTCTGTTTTTTGTTTTTTTAAAAAATATTTTATTATTTTTATTCCATGTGTATGAGTGTATTGCCTGCATGCATGTGAGTGCACCCGTGTCATGAGGTGCCGTGGAGGTAAGAAGAGGGCTTTAGATTCCCTTGGAACTGGAGTTAAGGACGGTTCATAGCCGCCATGTGGGTGCTGGGACTTGAACCCGGGTCCTCTGCAAGAGCAGTCAGTGCTCTTAACTGCTGAGACCCTCATTTCTATTTTTAAGTCCCACACTAATACAGTCAAACAGGTAAAAATAATACTCTCTGAAAATAACTTACAGTATCCAAGGCTACTGGGATCTTCACAGTACATCCTCCTTTCCAATGAGCAAATGTTTTAGAGTCATACCAAATCTAAAAATAAACAGATTCCAGTGAAATAGATGGGCAGTCTCTCTCCTAAGAAGTCTGCCTTACTCCTTGAGTATGGAGTTCTGTCCTATAATTGAACTGCTTTCCCCCTCCCCAACAAATTCCAGAAATGAAGGAAAGAAGGAAGGGAGGGAAGGAGGGAGAAAGGAATTAAAAGAAAGCTAAAATAAGTACAATTAAAAATTGGGGTAGAGCCAGACATGGTAGCACATGCCTTTAACCCCAGCACTTAGAAGGCAGAGGCAGGCAGATCTCTATGAGATCCAGACCAGCCTGGTCTACACAGCAAGTTCCAGGCCATCTGAGGCTACAGGGAAAAGAAATTGGGGTCCAGAAGCTAGGAATAATATTCATATTCAATCTCTCTCTCTGTCTCTCTCTCTTTCTCTCTCTCCTTCCTTCTTTCCCTCCATCCCTCTCTTTCTCCCTCATCTGTGGTACTGGAGATTGAACCTAGGGTTCACTCCTAAGCAAATACTCTACCACTGAGTTATAACCTTAATCATCTTTACTTTTTATTTTCAGATAGGGTCTTACTAAGTTACCCAGGCTGGCCTTGAACTTGCTCTGTAACCCCAGCTAGGGCTTGAACTTTCAGTCCTTCTGCTGGAATTACAAACTTGCACCACCAGATCCCACATACTTTTAAGAAGATTCCAAGACCTAGCACACAGGAAGCCCTGTGTTTGATGCCCAGCATAGAATAAATTGAACATGGTGATATGTGCTTATAATCCCAGTACTGAGGAGATAGAGGCAGGAGGATCAGAAGTTCAAGTTCATTCTCCATTACATAGTGAGTTCAAGGCCTGCCTCAGATATATAAGACCCTGTCAGAAGAAGGAGGAGGGGGCGGGAAGAGAGAAAAAAGGAGGAAGAGGAGGAGGAGGAATATGACGACGAAGGGGAGGGGAGGATACCAAGGGGATATGACTAATTAAAAGGCCATTTCTTGTCCCTCTATGCATTCAAAAGGTAACTACTGAACAACCTACCACTGTGCAGGGTTCTGGGTACGTATGTAAGATACTTAATGTCTCTACGTGAATGAAAAGATAAGATGAATTTCTTGTCTTTATTGTTCTTACAGTCTACTGACTTATAAAACCTTAATGCTTGAATTGGCGAGATGGTTCAGCAAGTAAAGGCACAGGGAGAGAACCAACTCATAAAGTTGTCCTCCGACTTCCACATATGTCGTGGTATGTGTGCCCCCCCAACAACATGCACACACAACAATAATAAGATAAAACAATTTTCAAAAAATGAACTTAATGCTTCTAGCAATAAATAAAATGGTGAAAAAGAGAGAATAAAAACAAGAACAAAGAAAAGCACATTGCAAGCAGATAGATTACAGGAGAAGAGCATCAGAGAAGAACAGATTTGGCAATAAAATAATAGAAACTTGGATTACTAGTTTAGTATCATTTTTCAGAGTACAATTCAGAGATAAGGTTCTCATTCTCATCTGAGAGCCCTACTACAGGAGGCTAGTTGCTAAATTACAAAATAAAAAAATCTCACAAACTAATTGGGTGGAATAAATTCTTAGGATACCACCAGAAACAGCAGCACGGAAAGGAACAGGCTGTTTTCTCTCTGCTAGTCCAGTTCTCTTTCTGGCAGCCATGGAGTGATTCCATGCTGTGAGTTCACCTCCTGGGATTACCACGACCTTTACATAGCAGGGCCGTTGAGACTGCCACTGTACTGCTGTGACAGTGACAGGACTGTGACTTGACCATCATTAGCTGCAGTGAACTCCTAGTAGGATCAACTGCATCAGGCTCACAATGTGGTATTCTTGGTGGGTTCTGTCTGCTAACATTTTGTTGAGGATTTCTGCATCTGTGTTGAGGAGGGATCTTGGCTTGACTTTCTTTTCTAGTGCGTCCTCTAGCTTTCTTTCTTCTCGCTGGACAATTCCTGCAGCTTTACATGAACCAGAGGAGGTGAAAGATACAAGCTGATTTAAAATGACTGAAGACTCAACCATTTTCATTACTGACAGTGAGGGGCAGGGATACACCTTAGTGGTACCTAGTATGCACAAGTCCCTGGCTTCAACTCTTCTCATGTCATTTACAAAGTTTTCCAAATATATAAAGCTCTCCAACCTAGGAAATGTATAAATGGACAAAACGCCATTCGGGCCAGGCTGAGAACTCAGTGCCAAGTTCCTCAGCCAGCAAGTACTGGATGAGGCTCAACCCTGCCAGGTGTCCTAGGTGCAGGGATACAGCAGAGATCTTACTAACATGAGAACTGCTGCCTTCAAGGAGCTAGCATTCACATGGGAGAGGTACATAACGAACAAGTATATAAGTAAACATGCAGAATGGTAGACAGTGGCAAGTTCTGTAGGTACAAAGGCTACAGAGAGCCTGACAGCACCAAGGGCAACCGCAGTGGTTTGAAATCTCAAACAGGTGATCAGAGAAGGCCTCACCAAGGAGATATCCAAGGCTAGACTCGGAGGAGAGGGGATGGGCTAAAATATGGAGAAGCATGGCAGTGAGGGATTTTCAGATAGCCCTGGGTAGTGTATTAGCCAGCTGAGCTGCAGGGGTGCCTGTGGCAAGAAACAGCGTGGCTCTTTTAACCAGGGTTTGTGAAGATGTAGCAAGAGAAACAATAACAGAACTCTGGGAGGTGTTGAAGGAATATGTAGTCATGACAATGTGCTTTCAGTTATGATGGACATTTGTAAAAGTTATTAGCTGAAATAAAAAGGGAGCCTGCTCCTCTAAATGGAGGGTATGGCTTTGCATAGGAATAATGTAGAAACTCAGCTGATAAGACCAACAGGACATTTTTAAAAAAGATTTATTTTCTTCTTTTACATGTATGTGGATGTCTCTGAGCGGGTATGTGCATGTGAGTACAGGTACCTCTGGAGGTCAGAAGTTTTTAGTGCCCAAACTCAGGCAGGATTCAGAGGGAACCTGAACCAAAAAGCAAAGACCCTTTATACATGTGTTCTCCGAGCTTACTACCTCCTGAAGATCGATGTTTTCTTTTTCTGTTTATAATATCTAATGCACTGTTAAGTGCTATATAAATATGTATTGAGGAAATGAGGACAAGAAAATGTCTATATGTGTTCAGTTCAAATGCAATCCTCGCTGCTCCTCCGATCTCCTAACGCTTTCTTCAATGTTCCCTTCTGCTGCTAGACGTTTCCCTTTCCTTTTCAAATCTCATGTATTCTGTTTCCCTTTGTACCTGCTTTCTTAAAGCCTCTTTTTTCCCTATCTCATGGGTCCCTTTCTTGTTTCCTGGTTTCTATCCATACTTACTCCCACTTAAATGTACATATTTGAACATTTGAAGCTAGGATCTGTACATGAGAACATGTAGCACTTGAACCCCAAGCCTTGGTGTCCTTCTAAGGACCCACTTATACAAGTCAAAGTGTAAAGGCAAAAACTTCCCTTAAGTTGTTACCTATTCATCTTTCTCCACCTTTCCTTCATTAAATATGTCAGCCTCTGAGAACAGTGTCATGATGGAGGAAAACCTACAGTCATTTTAAAGTAAATTCACAATGCTATGCTAAAGAAATCTCTTTCCCAAGAAAAATGAAGGGATGAAAGCTGGGAGATAAGAGATATGTGGCTGTTTGTTACTACTCTTACCTCATTTGGCCCTGGCAGAAATACATCAACCATGGCAGCCTGTAGTTCTGTGACTGGATGAACCAATAAAGCGCTTCCTAAAACATGGAGAGGAAATAAAATCGAATAGCACTATAGGTAATCTGAACCCCTCTTTTCCCTTTAATTGAATACTAGATTGTGAACTTCCTCTGTGAACCTCTCTAAGGCAGAGACTATGGTGTCTTGAATAAATAATTTGTCTGAGAGATGCACTGTTAGAAAGAGGAGAGGGCCTTGAAGAGGTAACTGGATTAAACCCATTTATGGCATGTTAGGGCTACAGGGAAAGGACCCTGGCATAGTCTTGTTTATTTGAGACAGGGTCTTATTATGACCTGGAACTTGCTATCCAGATCAGGCTGGCCTTGATCTTTTGATCCTCCTGCCTTAGCCTTTCAAGTGCTGGGATTACAGGCATGAGCCACCATGCTTAGCTCCAGTTTCATTTTCTGCATAACTACTAGTGTACCAATGATCAGAAAGCACCACTGCACCTTTCCAAATGCTTCATCATTTGTTATGAGTGGTAGTAGCTAGAGAGAGGCCATGCTATTATCTAGAAATGTGGTCAGTGAGATTACTTGGTCACTTGTGCTTGGGCAGTTACCACTGCAGAGGCTGCATTCTCTTAAGGATAGTCTGGGTTATTACTTTTGTTATCAGAATTGTACCGCACATCTGTAAAATGCATCTACTTAAGAATTCATGTTTTAGGGTTATTTATAGGGTCTCACTATGTAACCCAGGTGCCTTCAACCCATGGTCCTCTTGCCTTAGCCCCTGGGTGCTGGGATTATAAGCATGCACCACCATGGCTAGCTTGAAATAATTCTTCTAGTCAATAAAGATGTATTTACTGAGTGTCAAACACCATGGTAGGCTCTGGGGATATAGCAGAAAGTAAAACAAGCATAGTTCCTGCCTTCATAGAGTCTGTGGTAAGGGAATGAGACAGATATGTTAGAGCAGGTACAAATTAATTAGAGTCAAAATAAATACCAAAAGAGGCAAAAGTACAAAATGGAATGAAAATTGTATAACAGGCAAGACTGACTTCGCATAGGAAGGGTAAAACTACAGTATAAAGAACTATATAAAGTTGACTAGGGAAGTTTTTCCAGGGCAGTGACTATTAAGTTGAAGCCTAATGTGCTGGGGATTGAACAGAGCCTTGGGTATGCTATGTAAGAGCACTGCCATTGAATATATCACCAGCCCAAATGTTCTTGTTATTATAATAATAATGATTTGAAAAAAATTTTTACATTTGGAGGTTTCCACTGTTTAGAATGGAATTCATTCTTTGGGTCTCAATGTTTTAGCCTTGCTTTTTGAGCCCTGTTCCTGAAACAATAAACTTCTTCCAGGTTCTAGATGCTATGGTTAATCCTCATTAAAGATGAATCTTAGCTATGTGTGGTGGTATATACCTGTAATTTCAGCATTATGGGGGTTGATACAGAAAGATTACAAGTTCAAGGATAACCTGGGCTACATAGCTTGTCTCAAAAGAAAAAAAATAGACATCTACTAACTGTATATGAAATAAACTATTGTTTCTTTTTTAAAAAAAGATTTGCAGTGCCTGCAGTGCAGATGAGGGCACTGGATCCCCTGGAGCTGGAATTACAGGTTGCTGTGAGCTCCCCAACATGGATGCTGGGAACTAAACCTGGGGCCTCTGGAGGAAGCAGCAAGTTCTCTTAGCCACCGAGCCATCTTTCTAGCCCTCTCTTCTGTTTCTTTGCTATAAATCATCTGATCTACTTTTTTATATTTCCCTTCCCTATAGCAGTCTCAGCAAGTTTAAAGGCATGGGTCCCAAACAAAAATCTCAGATTATACCCAACCATAAACTAGATTTATTTGAACTTGGTAAAAATAATTTTTGGGGGGTCTTTTTGAGACAGGGTCTTCCTATAGCCCCAGCTGTCCTGGAACTCACTATGTAGACCAGGCTGTCCTTGAACTCACAAAGATCTGCCTGCCTCTGCCTCCCAAGTGCTGGGATAAAGGCATGCACAACCAGGCCTGGCTGATAAAAATAATATTCTAAGTACCATTTTACAATGAACTAGAACTATGGTCCCACTAATGCACTAAAAGTTTGGTAACAGAGGCCTGAGGATGCAACTCATGCTTGCCTAGCATGCATGAGGCTCTGAGTTCAATCCCCAGCACTGTATAACACCAGGCATGATGATGCATATTGTAATTGCAGTGATGGTGGAGGCATGAAGAGCGATCAGAAATTCAAGGTCATCTTAGCTACATGAGTTCTAGGCCAGGTGGGTTACATGAGACCCTGCCTCAAAAGATTTTTTTTTTTTTTGGTGACAGAATTTATTATTTGTGTTTCTTGGTCTTAGGGTTTTCTTACCTAGAAAATATGATAAAAACATAGTTACTGTATTTGTTATAACTATAACTAATCTATAAAGGCTTACCTAGCATATATTCATCTTCCACACCAAAAGTCTCTAATTCATCAGGGAACTCTATCCACAGAGGCCTGGGAGGAGAAAAATAATTCATGTTTTGAGATTATTATGTTTTATTATACCTTTTTGTTAGACATCCCATTAGAGTTTTATATTCCTCAAAAGGAGCTAGAAAGTAGCAAAGAGCCAAGATTCTTTTTCATATGATTAAAAAGCTTATGAGTAATTGCTGTGGTTGATATTTTTATTATGTGAAAGCGTTTTCTATTAACTCATGTGTTCTAATGAAATATTAAAAAGTCTACAAGCTGCAGTTTTCCTTCTGATTGTTGAGTGTGAAATACCACTCCAACAGGTTGTTCTAGTCCACCTTCAATTGCTGTGACAACACTCTGACCAATACCAACTTGGAGAGGAAAGGTTTTATTTGGCTTACATCTCCTGGGTCATAGTTCATCACTAAGGGAGCCCAAGGTAGGAATTCAGGGCAGAAACCTGGAGGCAGGAGCTGGAGTACAGGCCATGGAGGAATGCTATTTACTGGTTTGCTCCCCTGGTGGGTGCTCAACCTGCTTTCTTATACAATACAGGACCACCTACCTGCCTAAGGGTGGCACCACCCACAGTGGGCTAGGCCTTCCCACATCACTCAACAATCAGGAAAATGCCCCACAGATGTAGCCACAGGTCAGTCCAATGGAGGAAATTCCTCAATTGAGGGCCCCTCTACCCAGGTGTGTCAAGTTGACAACTAAAGCCATCCATCACACAGGTAGAATCAGAACTTTATGCAATTCTAAATGCAAAACTTCTTTGGTGTAAAGTAAACTAAATGTCTGTAAACTCACACTTTGCTGTAATGATAATTCTGTGCCATCTTTTCTGGCTGTCACTGCTTTTCACAAATCACTTTATCATTACTTATTTAAATAAAAAGACCTGACCTCACTTATTTTCACATTAGTAATGCTTTGGGAAAGGTGAGAAATTATTGAGTTTTTAAAGACAGTTATTGCTTCATACAACTGCTTCATACATTGAATTTTCAATATCAATGTATCTAGATATTAACTTAATGGCTCTAACCATGTCTTAATTTCATGAGGAAAAGACTTATTTTTTTTGCCTTTTTTTTTTTTGAGACAGGGTCTCTCTGTAACCCTAGCTGGCCTGGATTCGCTATGGAGACCAACCTGGAGATCTGCCTGCCTCTGCCTCCTGAGTGCTGAGATTAAAGGTGTGTGCCACCACACCTAGCCAAGACTTATTTATTTTATGTGTATGAGTGTATTGCCCACATGTATGTAAGTGCACCCATGTCATGCAATGCCCACAGAAGTCAGAAGAGGGCATTGGATCCCCTGGAACTGGAGTTACAGGTGGTTGTTAGCCACCATGCGGGTGCTGGGAACCGAACCCAGGTCCTTTGCAAGAGCAGCTAGTGCTCTTAACCACTGAGCCATCTCTCTAGTCCCCTAGGAAAAGATATTTTAATAGGAGAACCTTCTTATTTACCAGTCTTTGTAATAATATATTCCTTTTCTACTGAATGGTAACAAAGCAGTGTTCTCTAAACCTGGCTGGTGTCTAGAATCATCAGGAAACTTCAAACACATATAGGTTCCTGAGACTCCTAGAATGTTTTGGAGGTATGCCCTTTGGAATATGTACTTCCAAAAAGTTCCCCATGTCTGGTCTAACCCCGTTTAGAAACTGCTGATTCTGAAGTCTCTGTATTATTCTTTAACTTAGAAGATTTTCTTTCATATTTTGCCTAAAAATAAAATTAGAAATTACATGCTAGAAAAAAAATGTCTACCTCATGCTTGAACTAGTTCAACCCTAAAGGTAAGATCAAACTTCAGATGGCAGGTAAAATTATTCTTCATGAGAGCAGGCTTATGGATAAAATACTAAACGTATTCAGATACAAAGTCACTTCCTTTTCTTTAAACATTTTCATTTATGCCTTTTAGTAGATATTAATACCTTAATGAAAATAGTGGGGGATCTAGATTTCATCTTCTGTGTCTTCAATAGCCAGTACCTTGTACACAGCAGGAAGTCACTGATTGAAGCCTGACTAAACACATGGCTCTTCTCCTTTGCTGTCAGAATCACTGTGGAATTACTTCAGTTCCTGATCACTAAGGGATCTGTTGATTAGTTGTTGGGGTCCTAAATGGAGGATTTTTTTTTTTTTTTTTTTTTTTTTTTACCTCATGACAGGTTCAGAAGACATGTGCGCATGGTAGAACAGAGAATATAGATAGGGCAGGAGGGTGTAGCGCTCTTTGATGGCTTCTCGGATGAGCCTGGTGTGTTCTTCCCCAAAGAGCCAGGGTTCCCGCCGCTTAGTGTTCATGGTAGCGTGGCCACGGAAGAAGGGCTGGTAAGCTCCAGCCTGGTACCAGCGCACCAGCAGTTCTGGCTCTGGATTCCCAATGAAGCCGCCTACATCAGCTGCTTAGGCAAAGAAAGGCCATATGAGGCAACCTGGCTTCAAATAAATAATGTGTTCAGGTAAAATAAAGCCTTGAGAACTGAAAGAAGGGTTTTATATGTACCCTCAAGATGGCAGACGAAAATATGGCCTCAAACAGGGCAGACTAAGCCACAAAGCCCAGCCTATTCAGGTAGCTGACAAAATGCTTTTTTTTTTTCCCCCCAAAAAAAGTCAGAGGCTTTACTACAAGATCAATAGTCCTGTGTGCTCCTGAACCTACATTATCCAGAAACTGCAATGTCTCTCTGAGTGTGTGAGTGTGTGTGTGTGTGTGTGTGTGTGTGTATGTGTGTGTGCTGAAGGAAAGGTCTGACAAATGATTTCTTTTGAAAACAAAAGCTAAAGCAATGAAAAAACTACAGAGAAGCGAATCATCCGCATCAGAGGTGCAGCATGCTGACCCCTTGAGCAGGACACAGACTTCTTGTATGTGGATCAATGTCATAAAAAAAAAAAACAACAAACATGTATTGCCAGGTGTGGTGGTGCATGCCTTTAATCCCAGTACTTGGGAGGCAGAGGCAGGCAGATCTTTGTGAGTTTGAGGCCAGCCTGGTCTACATAGTGAGTTCCAGGACAGCTGGGGCTACAAGGAGACCCTGTCTCAAGACAAAACACAAAACAAAACAAAACAAAAAAACCCACACATATATCAAAAAAGTGGTATTATTTGTTTCTATTCCTGTAGAAAATAGGAAGTATTCAGAACTTCAACCAGAACTACAGCCATACTAAGCATCTTTCATGTTAATGTCTCTTATCTTCACTGAATTCTCAGGATGCAGGGAAGGCAAGCCATCAAACACTTATTTTAACTAAATCTATCTTTCCCAAGACCACATCTGTGTGTGTGTGTGTGTGTGTGTGTGTGTGTGTTCATGTATGGGGAGGTGCATATGCGTGTGGAGGTCACAGGTTGACTTCAGACGTCTTCCACTTTATTTTTTGAGAAAGCGTCTCTTACTGAACCTGGAATTCACTGATTGCCTAGACTGTCAGAAAGCCCTAGGGATCTACCTATTTTTGCCTCCACAGACCTGGGATTACAGGAGTATTCCACTGTGCCTATCTTAACTGACTAAGCCATCTCTACCATCCCATTTCTTTTCTTTCCTTTATTATTTTAACAGGGTCTCATGTAGCCCAAGCTGATCTCAAACTCTCTCATGTAGCTCAAGATGACCTTGAACCCTTGATCCTCCTAGCTCCACCTCCCAGGTGCTAGAACTATAGGTGTGTGCCACGAATGCCCAGTTTCATGCAATCTGAGGAACCCAGGGCTTCACACATGCAAGGCAAATAGTCTACCAACTGAGCCTCTCCCCGAGTCCCCAGGACCACATCTTAAGAAAAAAACAAGTCAGGCGTGGTGGCGCACACCTTTAGTCCTAGTATCCTGGTACTGGGCAGGGGCAGAGGCAGAGGTAGGTGGATCTCTATGAATTCAAGGCCAGCCTAGTCTATAATGAAAGTTCCAGGCTAGCTGGTGCTACAGAGAGATCCTGTCTCAAAAAAAGACCAAAAAAAAGAAAAGGAAAAAAAAAAAAAAAAAAACCATTCAACCAACAACAGTTAAAATATATTACATATAAGCTGAGCATAAAGTATTTCTGTAAAATTGACTCTTATTTCGTCACTACGGTGTTAGCTATCAAACTCAAGGCCTGCACATGCTAGGGAAGCACTCCACCAGTCTGTACACTCAGCCCTTGGCTGGCTTTTGATTTGCTCTCACCCTTTCCACTTTCAAGAAGAAAAGCATGGTTTAGGAAGGAAAACTCAGTTATTGTTCAGGAGACAGTTATCCCTCAGGAGACAGTGCTAAGGGACTGAGGGAAGGAAGCACCCTGCTTCCCCTCCTGACAGCCTGTCATTATACCCTTAATTCAGAGAAGAAGCACCCTTCCACCCTCCTTCCACTTTCTCTTTCCCACATTCATCCCTGCCCCAAACAGTTAACAACCAGAATTGTTAACAACAGTTAACAACCAGCATCTCTTTTCATTTCCTCCCTTAAATCCTCAGAACAGGAATCACCTTACCTCCACAAAAAGAGATCCCTGAAATGCTCAGAGTGAGCAGCATTGGGATGGAAACTTTCAGGTAGCTCCATTCTGCTGTATTGTCACCTGTCCATACCGCACCTTTAGTTACCAGTGACAAAGGATGGAAAAAACAAACAAATTATCCCATGGACTCAATTTCATTTAGGTTCCTTAATTGTAAAAGACAAAAATCATAAAAAGGAAAACATTTCTCACCTTAAATTCTGATTTTCTACAGAGATAACAATTTTCTTTTTTTTCTTTTTGGTCTTTTTGAGGTAGGGTCTCCCTTTAGCCCCAGCTGTCCTAGAACTGACCATGTAGACCAGGCTAGCCTTGAACTCACAGAGATCCACCTGTCTCTGCTTCCTGAGTGCTGGGATTAAAGGCATGCTCCACATCTGATCTTCTTTCTTTTTTTGAGACAAGATCTCCCTATAGTGCTGGCTGGCTTGGCCTCAATCTCATAGAGATCTGCCTGCCTCTGCCTCTGCCTCTGTACCACCACACCCAGCTCATTTATGTTTTTTTAATTGGGATAATAAATATTGCTTAGGCATTCTTTTCTTTTTAAAATTTATTATGTTACAAACATTTCCTCACGTGATTAAAACAACCATGTTATGGAAGGAGAGAACCAATTTCTGCAAGTTGTCCTGTGACCTCCACACGTGGCATGGCCCTGTCCCCTGAAATATACAGCCTCATGACAGTTTATCCTATAGATAAACTATACTTTTATAACTCTAGATTTAGACTTTCTTTTCTTTTTGTTTCAAGGACTGATGCTATGGGGAGCATCTTTGTATACGAATCCTTGCCTGGGATGATACTATTCTGTCCTTTGGCTAAATATCACAGGGGCTGGTTTTGAGGGTGGAGTGGGAGGCCTAAAATGCCTATAATAAAGTAAGGGCTGGGTTCCTTACACTATGACCTAAGCTCTCAGTTATTTATACAAGGACAGGAGACTTAAAATAGCCTTCTGGCCACATAGTGGTTAAGTTGAACTAGATCTGCATTAGCTAGTAAACTGGATCCAGTCATAGATGACCCTGACAACAAGCAACAGCCAGGTCTATTTTAAATCATATTGCTAAGTGGAACAAATGGTTGGAACAATATATTAGCGGTGTATCTCCCTGGTTTTCATAAGTCAAAAGATAGGATCAGAGATGACCATGTCATCAAACTGAATACTCTGAAGTCACTCTCCCAAATAAGTGGCTATTTCTTCAGTAGGAAACAAGTACTAAACTTGATGAAAAGTCCAAGTTGGCCTTGGAAGATGACCTTAAAATCTGATCCTCCTGCTCTACCTCTTGAATGCTGGTATTAGAAACATGTACCACCATGTCTGGATTTATACAGTCTTGGAAATTAAACTCAGGGCCTCTTGCCTGTTAGGCAAGTAGCTACCAACTGAGCTACATTCAAGCCCTTATAGAAAAAGTAAACACCGCAGAGCATATTATTCTCTACAATGGAGGTACTAAGGAATGGCTATTGAAGAACAATGGCAGCAGGCAACATATACCATAAGTAGTGTATTAAAAAAAAAAGGACAGGGGGCTGGAGAGATGGCTCAGCAGTTAAGAGGACTGCTGCTCTTGCAGAGGACCCAGGTTGTGTTCCCAGCACCCACATGGCAGCTAACAATTGTCCATTATTCCAGTTCCAAGGGATCTGATGCCCTCTTCTGACCTCTGTGGGCATTGTACAGCACGGGTGCACTTACATACATGCAGGCAACACACTTATACACATAAAATAAAAATAATAGATTTTTTTTAAAGAAAAGGATGGGTGGCTAACTTAGATTTTGTAACAAACCATTTCTTACCATACTTTTGTGATCCAGCAAAGAAAGAACGTGAAAGAACGAAGGGTCTCTCCTTCCCTTGAGATCGCTTTATCAGTCCTTCTGCAGTAGCCATCTGCTGTAAGTCAATGAAGAAAAATTTGAAAGAGATGACAAGATTAGGGCACTATGCCAACATCTTCAAAAGGCTATCAAACATCAGAAGAGTAAATTGTTGGTGGGAATATGAAATGGAAGATGGTAAAAAAAAAAAAAAAACCTGATGATATACTGAAACTACCTAAATTTATTTCCCTGTTAAAGATGGAAAAATTTTCTTTAAGAATACCAATAAAGCTGGGCATGGTGGCGCATGCCTTTAATCCCAGCACTCGGGAGGTAGAG